GCTCATTTTCTAAACCTATACCCAGAACTTCAAATATCATTACATGAGCAAGCAAATACTACAATAAATCATCAGCATTTTACTCTGGACAATCACTTTGATCAAGTAATGAATAACCTAATGGAAGATCTTGTTACTATAATTTCCCCAGAAATACAACACATTCTTCATATCCAATTACTTGCTCTTAAACAAATTCCCCCCATTTTACCACAAACTGCTCTGCTTACACTTCCTGATGAACAATACAATATTATTAATATTATTACCTCTAATCTTGGACCAGTACAAAATAAAAAATGGCCTTTTTTCTTTATAACAGGATCTGCTGGTACTGGAAAATCATATATCATTCATTTAATTGTTAACTGGCTGAAATCAATTAAAAAAAAATACCTCCTAATGGCACCAACTGGAGTTGCAGCTCAAAGCATTGGTGGCTCAACCATTCATTCAGCACTTCGAATAAATCAATCAGAAACAGGATTTCAATCACTTGCCCTTTACGATGCTGACTTTAAAACTGAATTACATAAAATTGAAGTACTCATAATAGATGAAATTTCAATGGTTTCAGCTTCCCTGTTCACATTTCTTGCAAACCTGTTTGCACAAATTCATAATAACAGCATCTGTTTTGGAGGTATAAGTGTAATTGTTGTAGGTGATCTTGCACAACTGCCTCCAGTAAGAGCCTCAACTATTTTTCATTCAGCAGTTTGGCAAGAATTTTATCCACTGTTCCTTCACCAATCATGATGTCAACAAAGTGATCTCCAATTCTTCCACATGCTTCAAGAAATACAATTGGGAAATATTTCTCAACCAACATGGAATAAGTTAATGTATAAAGCTGCATGTTATCAACAGATCCAGTCATTAGACATTCTCTACAAAACTACACATATTGTTGGACACTGTAAATCAGCTGAGCAAATCAACAGAACTATTTGTAATGCATTGCCTATCCATGATGACAAATTTTTAAATTCTGAGGCTATTGATTTTCAAAATGGTGTTCATATACCAATTGAACATTCCCAAACTGAGTTTAAAACAAAAACAAATCTTCCAACAAATGTCCGTCTTCAGCAAGGTGCACGTGTGATGTTCCTAAATAATTCAATGATTAATGAAGGCATATGCAATGGCACAATTGGATTAGTAACAGACATAGACAAATTAACATCTAGTGTACAAGTTGCTTTTTGTGTCCGTAATGCCATCATACATAAATCAATAGTAAAGCAAACATCATACTTTTACATATCAGGAAACCGTGTATCACGCACACAATTTCCCTTGCAAAATGCATTTGCCCTCACTGCACATAAAACTCAAAGCCTCACATTACCAAGCATATCCTTAGCACTTGATTCTCAATTATTTTCTCCAGGACAAGCATATGTTGCAATTAGTAGATGTCCTTCCTGGGATCATGTCTACATCAGTAGTTTACACCGAGATGCTTTCATAGTAGATCCTGAAGTAATACAAGAATATAATCGTTTACAACAAATTGCAATGGCACCACTTCCCATAACATAAAATAAAAATAGATACAGACATAATTAAGCACTGTAAACCATTGTATAGCTTATATATATATTTCATTAACAATCATTCAACTTAATAAACGATTATTTTGTACCAAAATTAATACTAACAAATGTTCATAAAATTAGTTAATATTAAACACTTTATAACCCTTGAACAAAGGGGCGAAGCCCCTACAGAACTCAGGACTAGTTATTATATTAAATTGGACATGCTATAAACTGCTCAGCACAACTAAATAACCCACCACATTATTACGACAGCTGTTTGCCCCTTCCCCTCACCATCTGTCTTCCTCGTCTTGTAAAAGCGATTCACGAATTTTGGTTAATGCTCTCAAAACTGAACGCCTTCCTTTTGGTTCAGCGAGATCAAAACCAGTCGCCAAACCATTCTCACCTGGCCATCTTTGAACCTTAACTGACTCTCCTTTCGGTAGGCCGTTTGCAAGTTCCATCCAATACGTTGCAGTAATCGTTGCTTTATAAAAAGTAACATATGTAGAGATTACACGAATGGCCCATATTGTCTGATCTCTAGGTCTCACTTCCCCAAGGGATCGTATATTCTCACTACCACAAGAAAGAATCTCCACAGCGATCTGTGATTCCCCAAAATCAGTAGCATATCCGACATTTTTCAGGTGTTTGTCCTGTTAAAAAGTTGTTTGAGACGACGAAATAACAATTTTTCAAATGACCAACAACATACAGACCTCTACCACAAGAACAGCAATTTTTTGCATTTTTACCACAAACTCGGGGTCTGAGGACACGTAGGGCTCGTCTTCAATATATAGTTTACATAGCGGGTGATTTCTGGATTTTAAGAATGCAACTTAGAAACTACTATATTTACCAGAAACAAAAGTTACTCACCTGATCCTCAAGGGGAAGATATTCAGCTTAGCGATACGAAGTAGATCATCCACAAGCGTATCAGTAAAAGTTTCGTCTGTGCCTATCACCTGAAGACCATTCAGTGCGACCTCATGCAATTTCACAACGAACGTTCGAACTTCATCCGTAAGTCCATTAATATTTACAACATTTAAGTTTGGATTTGCAAGAAATTCACCATTGATATCAGGGAGAATGTACTCGTCCGTAAAGTTGACGACTAGACAATATTTAAATTATAAGTATCAGGTTCACTAAGGATTGTTGAAGCAATGTACCTTGTACCTTGAACATTGGGTATAACATCGTTCTTAGATGAAGCTCCAAGGAAGTTCACTCTCAGTGCCTCCATATCTCGTATTTTGAACTTAGATGCCAAAGAAGGGAGGTCTTCTAAGTCATAACTAGCACTAGAACCGAAACTGAGCCTAAGATTGCTGGTGGCTCCCGCAAGCGCTGAGTCTTCGCTGGCAAAGCGTTTACGGGTGGCAGAAGAGCTCGCACTTTGGGTTTCGACGTTTTTTCGTTTCTTTGAAGGTTTTCGTGTGGTCTTTTTTGGAGAATTCCGACTTTTTGAAGACATCAGTAACACAATTCGACGAAAAAAAGAAAGAAAAAATGCCCGAGTTAGTAACAACCAGCAGGTCACACAATTACATCATGCATAAAAAGTTCCATGACCTCCTATGTTGATCAAACATGCAATCGATTTTTCAGGCATGTGATTTTATTTCGGAAATTTGGTCACAGTAACAGGTTCGTACGATTATTACTTTGTAATGGGCTTATTCCTGCCCTACATCATGCATGAAAAGTTCTATGACCTTCGATTTTATAGTATGTGATATGTTGATCAATTATCTGTATTACGCCATTCTTTTTCCGATAATTGATTTTATGTGGGTGTTTTCATTTGGGATTATTGTTATGAGATATGCAAATCAGGAATCATCACAAGAGACTAAGCTAATTCATCGCTGTTTTGTGAAATTAATGCCAATCTTTGCTTTTCAGCTGAAACCATCTACGATTTCCTGTAAATATTGAGCGATTCCGAGCAGAAATAATTTTTATGAATGAACCGATCGCCAAATCCGAAATTGACTTTCATAACATCTGAAATTGGTTTTATTAGTCGCGAGGAATGTGGTATATAAAAAATGAGTTGAGTATATGGAAAACTTATCCGGTTATACACTTCGCTATGTATGCTAATATCTCATCTCTCGAATCCCTTGCATTAAATATCCTACAAAATTCATTCCCAGAAAAGATCGCAGAAGGTGTCAATGTTTCGGAGCTAGACCCATGCTTGTTATGCAATCAAGAACTTTTTTTGTATGAAATAAAAAACCCGATTACCATACTCATCTGCGGTCATATACATAGTCAACCTCGATAAAATAAAGTCACTTTAAGATAAAATCGCTCTAAGATAAAGAATTTTCCCGCCCCGAATTTATATGCCATATAATAATAATCCTCGATAAAATAAAACCTCTATAGCTTAAACCGATACCATCAGCCCGTCGACTTTATCTTATCGAGTTTGTCTATGTATATCATCGTGATTGTGTCGAAAATTCCATCAAAAAACATTCAATATGTCCAAGATCTGATTGTAAGAAGGAGATAAAAACTATGGTTGGGAGCACACCTGGAAGTCTATATACCACTGATCCAATGAATATATCTCCAGCATTATTTGGTGATTTTCCAATATTTCAAGATACGTCCCAGAAAAAGCGTGTTGGTGAACCCACCAGTAAACTATTCAGTAAGAAAGCGAATAAGCAAGTTTCAAAAGAAGATTCTCCTACGTTACAAAGACTAATCAAAGAATTGACAACTCCTACCCAGAAAACCTCATCCAGTAATACGATAATTTTACAGTCGGACGTTTCTGAAATTGACAAAGATTCAGTTAATTTTCGTGAGTTATATTATAAGATTACCAATGCCGAAGACAATAATCAGAAAATTACCCATGATCTGATTTATTGCCACTATGATTTCGGGAAAGGTATTAAATTATGGTTCGATCATTATAGAAAAATATGTAGTGAGGATGCATCTAATGCGAAAGTTAATGATAAAATTAGGGAACAGATTTCCGCGGAAGATAAACTTACTGAGACTAATCTTCGAAAAAGAAAAGAAAGGGTTAAAAAGATTTTTAGACTTTTTAATAATATTGGTAGAAAAGAAATAATAGGTCGGATTAAAACTTTTAATGCAACAACGATTTTAAATCTATCTCAGGACGACGTTGATTATATAATTAGCAAAATTTTGGAAATGACTCACACATAACTTTACCTTGATAACAACGTCAATTTTCTTCGAGTATAAATAGGGCCTTGCCCATGCTTCGCATAATAGAGTCATATCATTGCCCGAGGCAGTCACTTCGTGGCTAAATCGTACTCAAATTTTTCGTATAATTTATACGATTGACTGTGACATTGATGTCACACTTCGAGTTTTTTTTTACTGCGACATACACTCACTACCAAAAAGTATTTGCTGATGATTTATTGTAGTATTTGCTTGCTCATGTAATGATATTTGAAGTTCTGGGTATAGGTTTAGAAAATGAGC